ACTAGAAATTCCCTAAATTTCCAACAATACATTGATGGTAAAGCTTAATATGGTGATCTATGTAATGGAATATGATGCCAACATTAAAATTACTTGTAGATGAATATCTAATAACACAGGAAATGCTAATAACGTGGCTAAGTTGAATAATCAAAGGACAAAGCAATTTCTATATGTAAATTATGTCTATTCATGCATATATTTGAACTTGATTTAATATTTATTTATATATAGGAAAAAAGACTGAAAGGAAGTTCTTTAAATGTTAACAGTGGGCATCTCTGAGTTATAGAATTGTATACAATTGTTATTTTATTTGTTATCCTCTTCCATAGTTTCCAGGTTATTAAAAATAAATATTTCCCCCTTAGAAATTTGTAGGCACATATGAATTTTGCAGATATATACAGAGTTACTGAGACATGGGGAAAAATACATGCTGTTGAAATTTGTGAATTTTGAAAGCACCCTGGCTTAGATGTGAAGTTAGAGAACTGTTGATGTGATTTCTTTTTTTTTTTTTAATGGAGTTACTGGGGATTGAACCTGGGACCTTACGCATGCTAAGCAGGCACTCTACCACTGAGCTGTACCTTCCCCTCTGACTTCCTCTTTTTAGAAGGAGAAAGGGTCAGGAATAATACAGATCTTATAAATATTTTCTACCTGAAGTCAGAAAGAAAAATGCCAGGATTTCAGTTCTGTGGACTGTCATTTTTGTCTTTTTTTTTTAATTGAAGTATAGTCAGTTACAATGTGTCAATTTCTGGTGTACAGCATAATGTTTCAGTCATACATATACATACATACGTTCATTTTCATATTCTTTTTCATTATAGGTTATTACAAGATATTGAATATAGTTCCCTGTGCTGTACAGAAGAAATTTTGTTAATCTATTTTATATGTAGTTGTTAGTATTTGCAAATCTCAACTCCCAATTTATCCCTTCCCACCCCCTTTCCCCCCTGATAACCATAAGTCTGTTTACTATGGTGGACTGCCATTTTTATTCCTAGGCTCTTGGAACAATGGAAAATAATATCTGGACAGTGTCAAATTAAGTTTAAATTTGGAACAGCTTGAAGTCTGTTTGGGATACTTCCTAGTGAAATTCATTTTATTTTTGGTGTCTTAGAGGCATAACTAAATATAAAAAAGCTTAGAAACTACTCCCTACACTTAATCATGACTATTAAATACTTTGTGTGCACTA